GCTCTATTCATTTGTGCATAATATTTTCTTTGGAACCTGAAATAAAGTGTGTAAAAGTGTATTTCATGAAACTGTAAGTTGGGTTTTATTATTTCATTGTTTTTAATTATTTTTGGCCATTTTTTTTGGTTTTTGTTCAATTTCATAGTTTAAGCTACTGCCACAGTGCGCAAATTCCAGGTGTTTTTACTTGTGGCTTTAGGCAGGTAGTTGGGGAGGGGGGGGAGACCCCCAGATAATTTCTTTGTTTCTGATTTTGGTCTCCCCTCTCTAATCGTTTCATAACGTGTTTTGCACTACTTTTTGGCCGCCATCTTAGTTGACACTTCACACGTCGTGTCAACCAAGATGGGGGCCATGAGGGGAAATCCCGGGACGACAACTAATAATTTACCTATTGCTTTTGTTTATGATGTTTGAATTAAATTACAAAAGTGAAGGTAAATTTAAAAAGATTTTCTAGGTCTCAAAATAGTTAAAATAAGCATAGTTCAATCAATATACAGTTTCCGGCAGAGGCCCCCACCCCCCCCCGGACCCCTCTTTAGCTGGAGGGTATCCCCCCCTTCCACCCTCCTTGTGTGTGTCTCGTTTTTTCCAGTTCATGATTTGTGGTCACCCTAGCCTACAACATCTACTAAATTTAGCCTTTAGTTACACAATTTTTGTTGTCTGTTAAACCATAAAAAACTTCACCTGGAAGTGGAGTGGCATGGACAGATCAATTTATAGAGTCCTAACCGATCATAGAGCTTAGTTCTTGCGTCACTTGTGACTTAAATAAAACGCCATACCAGTGACTGACTATTCATACCCGTTTTAATTGATGGTTATTGTTATGACGGCACGGCCTAACGACTTTTTTTTCTTCAAATTTTAATTCGTAGCCATTTTAACCAGTGGACGAGATTTTCTCATTAAGTTTTATTACATAGGGTTGATGAACAACATGTGTTATAGATATGCTAACTTCGGCTTGGGGTTTCTGAAATATCTTGTCTAATTAGCATCAGCATCATTATCATTTAAAAAAACGGCGTGCACCAGACGCCATCTTTCCCTAATAGGGCACCACACGGGCATGGTTGTATTGTTGAGCTAAAGTGTAAATTATATCATAGTACCGGGTATATTTTCAGTGAAATGCAAAACAAATAATTTTGAAACCAGTAACTGTTTATCTAATTTTTTATATACAAGCAAAGAGCAGACTGTAGGGTAAAAATATTTAAAAATTAGAAGAAAACGCAACATCACCTGGAAAATTTAGACCCTACAATCGAAAAGAAGGAATTTGTCGGTACTTTTGCGCATGCTCAAATCCTTGACCTTGGAAAATAAAAATAAACCAATCAAAATATTTTTATGTGGTACGAACAAAATATAAGTCCAGATCAATTTTATTAAACAGAAATAGAGTAAAATGATGTTTTGATTATCAAATAATAGATTTCAATTTTCATACACTTTTACCGCGTTTAATTATATTAAATAAATATTAAATAAGCTGTGGCATCACTAGGGGGTGCGGATCGCAACTGATGACACCTTTCACATGGCCAGTGACACCAAAATGCAAATTTGACTGTGACTGAGTCTGCTCGAGTCCGTTTCATAACAGAACTCAATTGAAAACGAGAACGTGGTGTCTCCAGAGCAAGATGCCACTAGATCAGGTCGCAAAAAGAAGAAGGTGCCACTAGAGCTCGGTGTCAAGAGAACAGGATGCCACCAGAACAGGGTGTCAGAGCAGGTTCCTCAAGAAATGTGCTACCATTAGAGGTTGAAACAAGAACAAGGTATCAAAAGAAAGAGCAGGGTACCCTCAGAGTAGGTTGCAAACACAGCAGGGCGCCAACTGTGCAGGATTCCACCAGAGCAGGGTACCACCACCATAGCAGGATGACACCTGAACAGGATGTCAATGTAGAAACCACACTCGGAGGAGGTTTAGAGGGGAGGGGGGTGTGTGAAGAAAATGGCAAGGAGGGCAGTCAAAAGACACCGGGCTGACTTTGCAAGAAGAAAACAAGAGGGTGATGCTTGGGTGTATTGGTCGTTTTCAATCAGATCAAGGAAGTAACAGATATGTTTGCACTGTGCAAGTTAAGAGTCCACTATTGTCAACTGTCAAAGAAATAAGGGTGTCCATTCCCAACCTGACCACCTTCACTTTATATTATGACCTACATGAAAGTGAACTTTTTAGTGGAAATAATGTGCGAAGGAAATTGAAATCAGCAGATATTTATCTGGACGAAGCAAAACGTTAGTCATTATGTGAACTTGTGACATTCATAGCTGAATGGGACTTCCTGGAATCTTTCCTAATCTTCTCATTAAGCCTACAATGATTTATCACGATTAGTGTGCCTGTTGCTTCATGTAAGAGCAGCATTTCAAAACTGTCAAGTAAAATAATAGAACAATCAAAAGCCGGTGGTATATTATACTACCTATGTCAAATGAACTTGGTTGCTCCAAATGTTTATGTGGCAGTGTTAATTTTCAATACCCCCCCCCCTAAATCGCGAGTGCTGAGAGAATCTTTCCGAAGCTCAAACTTAAAAACATCTTTGATTTAAAATGCCTCCAGATCTTCTTGGTTGGTTTAGCTACGGTATACTTGCAAACAACAACGACAGCAGAAGAATTTGATTTGACCGAAATAATTCAGGATTTTGCTTCAACTAAAGCAAGAAAAGCTAATTTATTTAAAATAAATTGTTAAATTAAAAGAGACTCTCTCAAAGCTTAAAAATTTACTTATTGCATCATTTTTTGTTTCGGTAACCAGCTTATTATGTGCTCTGTGAAAGCAAGAAAAATCTTGTTTGTCGTGGAATCAACTTTTAAATTAACTCCCTAACGCCATTACAATCTTGCCTGTTTAAGAATTCGAGTTTAAGTAAAGTTAGGCTGTAAGACAAAAAATATTAGTGACACATTTTCTTCATTCGGATTTATACTTTAAAATAAATAGAGCACGTAGTTTCTTAGAAATCTGTAAAAGGGTAAAAAAAAATAGATGATCAACATTTATGAGGGCTTCCGTTTTTGCCTCTTGTTCTTGCCTATTGCACAAAACTTGCTAACGCCGGCACTCCATTTTACTTAGTGTCCCGGAAAAAGGGAGGGGGGGGGGGGCTTTTGGTAGAGGAGGGTTTTTATGAAGGAGGGCTTTTTGTTGCTGTTTGGTTCAGCATCCGTTTTGAAATGGAACAAATATGAATTTACAAAATTAAAGCAATCTATCCATATCAATGTTTACATAACAATGCATCCTTATCAATGTATCCAATCCATATCAATGTTTCCACGTGGGCGCTTACGTGGAACTAACATAATTTTACAAATAAAACACACGCAAATAAAAAAAGAAAAAAAGGTGCGTTTCCTTAACTTTTCCTTAGATAGGCCTAACTTTTCCTTAGATAGGCCTAACTTTTCCTTAGATAGGCCTAACTTTTCCTTAGATGGGCCAAACTTTTCCTTAGATAGGCCTAACTTTTCCTTAGATAGGCCTAACTTTTCCTTAGATAGACCTAACTTTTCCTTAGATAGGCCTAACTTTTCCTTAGATAGGTCTAACTTTTCCTTAGATAGGCCTAACTTTTCCTTAGATAGGCCCAACTTTTCCTTAGTTAGGCCTAACTTTTCCTTAGATGGGCCTAAATTTTCTTTAGATAGGCCTAACTTTTCCTTAGATGGCCCAACTTTTCCTTAGATGGGCCTAACTTTTCCTGAGATGGGCCTAACTTTTCTTTAGATGGGCTTAACTTTTCATTAGATGGGCCTAACTTTTCTTTAGATGGGCCTAACTTTACTTAGAAGGGCCTAACTTTTCCTTAGATGGGCCTAACTTTTCCTTAGATGGGCCTAACTTTTCCTTAGATAGGCCTAACTTTTCCCTAGATAGGCCTAACTTTTCCCTAGATAGGCCTAACTTTTCCTTAGATAGGCCTAACTTTTCCTTAGATAGGCCTAACTTTTCCTTAGATGGGCCTAACTTTTCCCTAGATAGGCCTAACTTTTCCCTAGATAGGCCTAACTTTTCCCTAGATCGGCCTAACTATTCCTTAGATAGGCCTAACTTTTCCCTAGATATCCTAACTTTTCCTTAGATAGGCCTTACTTTTCCCTAGATAGGCCTAACTTTTCCTTAGATGGGCCTAACTTTTCCCTAGATAGGCCTAACTTTTCCCTAGATAGGCCTAACTTTTCCTTAGATGGGCCTAACGTTTCCCTAGATAGGCCTAACTTTTCCTTAGATAGGCCTAACTTTTCCCTAGATAGGCCTAACTTTTCCTTAGATGAGCCTAACATTTCCCTAGATAGGCCTAACTTTTCCCTAGATAGGCCTAACTTTTCCTTCCTTACTTTTCCTTAGATAGGCCTTACTTTTCCCTAGATAGGCCTAACTTTTCCTTAGATCGGCCTAACTTTTCCCTAGATAGGCCTAACTTTTCCCTAGATAGGCCTAACTTTTCCTTAGATGGGCCTAACGTTTCCCTAGATAGGCCTAACTTTTCCTTAGATAGGACTAACTTTTCCCTAGATAGGCCTAAATTTTCCTTAGATGAGCCTAACATTTCCCTAGATAGGCCTAACTTTTCCCTAGATAGGCCTAACTTTTCCTTAGATAGGCCTAACTTTTCCCTAGATAGGCCTAACTTTTCCCTAGATAGGCCTAACTTTTCCTTAGATAGGCCTAACTTTTCCCTATATAGGCCTAACTTTTCCTTAGATAGGCCTAACTTTTCCCTATATAGGCCTAACTTTTCCTTAGATGGGCCTAACTTTTCCCTAGATAGGCCTAACTTTTCCCTAGATAGGCCTAACTTTTCCCTAGATAGGCCTAACTTTGCCCGCTACTTCATTTTATAATCACCCGTGGATTTAAATTAGTTCCTATTTTTTTTTTGTTTTTGCGTGTTACCTTGAAAGAAATTTTAAATAAATGTTTAAAAAAAAGAAAAAAAATTAGTTTAAATGTTTGAAATGTTTCAAACCAGTGTTTACAATATTATTTGAACGAGTTGTCAACTCTGATACCCGCGGGGCGTCATACCGATTTACTTAATTCCCAATATTATAAATTCTCTACTAAGTGAGTAGGAGTACATTTTATCACATCAGTTCACATCTTTGTAACGGACTACTTTGTTACGCACTGGTAGTATCACCGGTTAAATTTAAAAACAACTTATATCATTAAATTAACGAAGAAAACAAACGACTTGTGTCAACCTAGTTTGTAGCTTAAGATTTTGCCCCCCCCCTCCACTTTGCAGGTGGCCGAAATATGCATATATTGAAAGTGGTGCAGCAAGGAGGCGTAGCCCACCCCCCCCCCCAAACCTTTCCTACACCAGTGTGTCAACAGCTTTATTTTTGATCAATCATCTGTAACAAGCAAACACACAATCATCTGTAACAAGCACACACACAATCATCTGTAACAAGCACACACACAATCACCTGTAACAAGCACACACACAATCACCTGTAACAAGCACACACACAATCATCTGTAACAAGCACACACACAATCATCTGTAACAAGCACAAACACAATCATCTGTAACAAGCACACACACAATCATCTGTAACAAGCACACACACAATCATCTGTAACAAGCACACACACAATCATCTGTAACAAGCACACACACAATTAATAAAAAAAAAGGGGGAAAAAGAAGAAATAATTATTTTTAATTTCAATGAAATTAAGCATTGCTTGTGTATACATCAAGTTGGTCATGTACAAAATAAGCATTGCTCATGTACACATTAGGCATTGCTCATGTACTCATTAAGCATTGCTAATGTACACATTCACAAAGATATTAAAAAAGTAAATTTTTAAAAGCTTTAATGTACAGGGCTAATGGATCAAATGGACAAGTCTGTGGTGCAGAAGGATCAAATGGACAAGTCTGTGATGCAGAGGGATCAAATGGGCGAGTCTGTGATGCAGAAGGATCAAATGGGCAAGTCTATGATTATGATGCAGAAGGATCAAATGGGAAAATCTGTGATGCCAAAGGATCGAATGGGCAGGTTTGTGATGCAGAAGGATCAAATGGGCAAGTCTGTGATGCAGAAGGATCAAATGGGCAGGTTTGTGATGCAGAGGGATCAAATGGGCAAGTCTGTGATGCCAAAGGATCAAATCCTAAGGTAGTTATAACTTGAAGCACGTACATACTGCGCCAGAGAGAAATTATAATAAATATTACACACAATTTTTAGAACAAAATTTTCAAGGAGGTTCTCAACATTTGATTTGAAAGCAGGCCTAAATTGAACTAAAGCAAAATATGTCTCAGAGCACAGCTTGCTCATTGGCCTATATTGTCCTTGTAGTGACCTGGCAAAGCAAATGAAGGGGTCAAAGTCTAATGATCTTGTCTTTTTTTTCTTTAATCAAGCAGCCAAAGTTTTCAGCTGGATCTATATGACTTATGAGATCAAGCATCAAGTCAGGCAGCATAGTGACCAGAATAGCATCTGTAGGCCTAGAGTATTTTTCATAAATAATAATTAAATTCTTAAAGAATCTTAATCTGACACATCTAGCCTACTGACTGATCAGACAAATCTAGCCTACTGACTGATCAGACAAATCTAGCCTACTGACTGATCAGACACATAAAGTCTACTGACTGATCAGACACATCTAGCCTACTGACCAGATGCATCTAGCCTACTGACTGATCAGACACATCTAGCCTACTGACTGATCAGACACATCTAGCCTACTGACTGATCAGACACATCAAGCCTACTGACTGATCAGACACATCTAGCCTACTGATTGATCAGACACATAGTCTAATGATTGATCAGACACATCTAGTCTACTGATTGATCAGACACATCTAGTCTACTGACTGATCAGACATCTAGTCTACTGACTAATCAGACACGTCTATTCTACTGATTGATCACATACATCTAGTCTACAGTTGATCAGACACATTAAGTCTACTGATTGATCAGACACACATATTCTACAGATTGATCAGATACACATATTCTACTGATTGATCGACACATCTAGTTTGCTGATTGAAACTGATAAATCTACTCAGTCAATTGATCAGATACACATTGATTGATCAGACAAATCTAGTCTACTAATTTATCAGACACATCTAGTCTACTAATTTATCAGACAGATCTGTTAAATCTTCAGCTCCTTTCCTCTGGGTTTTCGCACAATAAATGCTAGATTTTTGTTTTTGACTTTCACTATCAACCTGTGCTTTTGACTGAGATAATGGACGGTTCTTGCTTCAGATTTTAATTCAACAGGAACAAGAAGTTTGTTTAATGTGAGAGATTTTTTTAGTTTTTCGAGAATGAAATCAAGTCTGGTTTGGAATTCATCTGAGGTTTCTGGCAAGGGGTGAATTCGAAGTGTTCTACATGAAACCATGGTAACGCTGACATCATCCAGAAAACTCTCATCAGCCGGTGTCGGTGGGATGAGAAGAAATCGCTGCGTTTCTCCACCGTTCAATTTCAGACACTCAAAGAGCTCGTGTACTAATCTGACCTTACTCAGTGACAGTCCCTTTTTCCCTTGGCTGATTTTGATGTTTTTATAGAGTTTACATTCTTCACGAATAATCTTCAGCTCAGATGAACTGAACTCTGGTGACGATAACACAACGTCATCTTGGCTCACTTTGGTTGAGAACACTTTCAAATATGCCTTTGCCAGGTCTCTGAAATGTGTGGTTCCCATAGTCGTTGATCTCTTGTTTTGAGAAGGCCAAAGATAATCCTTATCAGCAGCTACCGTATGTCCAGTGCTTTGTCTTCCTGCCCTCTGAACGGGTTTTTTACTTTCATGATTGCCAAATCCATCGCCTGACCCAGACTTTTCACGGATCATTTCATATCCACTATTTGCAGTCCTCGCCTGTATTTCAAGACAAGTTTTTGACAAATAATGGCCACAGCACACCTCAGGTTTCCTTAATATCCCCCAACAAATATCTTGCAGTTTTATTATAGCTTCCACAGCAGCCTTTTCCTTAGCCTCATGGTATTTTATTCCACTGGCCTTTGCAACGACACAGGTCCCAATCTTCAATGTGAAATGAAACATTTTGTCCTCCCTCTTCACCTCAAATTCCAATAGCATGTTACAGGACTTGGCGCTGTTATGTAAAACATTATAGAGCGGTTCAGAGGCGCTTTCGATACAGATGATCAATTTTGACAGCTCACTGAATCGTGTTGGGCTATAATTGGTTTTGCATTTTGATGGCTGTATTAGAGAAGTATCATTTCTGCAAATTAGAGCCATTTCACCAGAAGAATGGAAGTCAAATTGGTCGGGGCTAATTTGTGTAATATAAAAGTTAGGCAGCAAAAGTTTTTCAAGGGCCATACACATGACTTTAACACGGGCTGCTTTGCCTGTGCAGTTGACTGAAGCTAAACAGATACCTCCTGAATATAATCCTGTTTGAGTACAGCCGGTCTTCTTCCAATGTATTGGTACTTTTTCCATTTTTGCAATCTTCTCAATAATTTCAAAAGGCTTGAAGCCTTCATTTTCCAGGTTCACTAATCTGTTTGCGAGTTGACGCAGCTGTTTCAACTGTGGATCTTGCTCTTGTTCGAAGGCAGACAAGTAAGTCTCCTTGCAAGCTATTCTAATATTTTTTTGTAAGGTTCTCATTCGCTTGAAACATGCTTTTTTACCTGGCGCTCTCATAACTGCCTTTAAATTCAGAGAAGAATTCATAATTTTTTTATCAACAGCAACACTAACTATGGATTCTGTGGAGCTATTTAAGTTTTTTGTTTTCAAAGGTGCGAATGATTGCTCATGAAGTGTAGATGCATCGCTCCTTGTCTTTTCCATTAGTTTGTCAACATTTCTTAAGTCAACGTTCGTTTCTGAAAGATTCTGCGGTGGTTTTGTATTCAGCTTGGGGCGTTTTGCTTTGACCTCTTCGAAGATGAAATCCTTATTATGTGCTTCAGCTCTGCATTCTCTCTGCTGTGATTCAACTGAAAAAAGTAAGCACACTGGAAAAGTTACTTTAAAAAAATTTTAAGCTATTACTCTTAAATATTTTTAAGCTTAACATTTTTTTGTTAAAAATAAGGAAGTCAGCAAGAGGTTGCTTTACAAGTTTCTTGATAACGTGAAAAAAATTCACTTACTTGATTTTTTTTTTTTTACATGTATGGATAATGGATAATAAAACTTCAACACCACACAAAGTATGTGACTTCATAAAACTATCAAACACTATAAAATACAATATTTAGAAACATTACAAACATTTTAAAGGTTATTCAACATGAAAATAAAAAGAATATTCAATAAAACGGTTTATTGTATTTAACTTTAACCTAACATATTTTTTTTTTACTTATTACAATCTGCTGAATCTAAAACATGACCTAGAGAGCTTACTATAAATTAGTATGAAAAGCAGTAGGATTTTTCAGAGAAAAAAAATCTATGCATCTAATTTATCTTTAACTTGCTATAAGTTATCGCCTAATGTATATGCCCAATACCAGTTTATTCAACTTTTCATTGGCTACTGGTAGCTTTTAAGTCAATGATGACGTCTAATATTTTATCATACTTCATGAACAAGGGTCACTATCACTACTGACACCCATGTTTATTAATACCCTTGTTTATTGACACCCTAGTTTAATAAAAAACCCTGTTTATTGACACAGGAGGAAGAGCGTAAGATAATTTAAAACATGACTTTGGAGGGAAAAAACTGTGAGAATTGCATAAAAGAATTTGTCAGCAGACGAAGATGTCAAAGTTTGAAATTTAAAAAGTAATAGTTACTTTGCTCAGAGGAGTGGGGCTACAAACCAACACAAATAATAACTAAAATTGTTCAATCATACCAAAAGGTTCAGATGGAGCTCCACCTCTGTGATCTTCTTCAGCAGCACTGCTGTATTTTCTTTTTAGCCTTTTATGATCAGCATTGACATTACTGGAGCCATCAAATTTAATGTTAATTGGTTTTGAATAGTAGTATATTGTAGAAGAGGCATATCCTGGAGCATCAACACAGGAGAACACCTCAAGTGTTCCATCTCTTATACCTCGCACTATCTCTTCTGACATGCCTGTTAGTCTAGAACAAACAAAAGTGAATTCAGTTAATCACTGTCTTTTTAGAGTTAAAAAATGTATTTTCTGAATGCAGCAAATTTAATATTCTGACTTGATATACATTAGTATCAGTATTGAATGTAGTCACATCTAGTTTACTGTATATATTTATGTCAAATTTAATTGTCCATGCAACAAAGGTTAAATTTTTACATTTAAATCCTCAACCTATATCTAATTAAATAATACATCCATACATTAGGGTCAGAACTCCCAGTTAACTTAGATAGTACTACCACTCAATTAACTACCTAGTCCCAAAATATATTACAAGTGTCTTATTAATATCAATAATAAATTAATTAATTAATATACAAACGACTGAATAACTATTATTAATATAATTAGTTTAGTAGTACCGGTAGATAGATTAGTCTCAGACGTCTTCTTAGTCTTAGTAGTTTAAATATTGTGATGGACACTAATAGTACTAATACTAAAAAGTGAAAAAGTAATACAATACAATAGAGTTGTTCGTAAATTACGTCATGCAAAAATGACCATTTAGACCCCTCTCCCCCCTGTCACACATACTTTTACACCCCCCCCCCCCCCCCCCGCCCCCCCCCCCCCCCTAAGTGAAAAAGTAATACAATACAATAGAGTTGTTCGTAAATTACGTCATGCAAAAATGACCATTTAGACCCCTCTCCCCCCTGTCACACATACTTTTACACCCCCCCCCCCAGGGTGTCACCACATCACCACGTTACACCTAAAAAAATCAAAACATACATAAAATTTTCATAACTAAAGTAAGATTTTATTTTATTCTTTAACATTTTCCCATAATGGATTAAGATGTAAATGTAGTATTATTAGCAAACTGAGACGTGAAACAACGAAGTCACCCACAATCACAAGCCAAATGTAAAATGGCCACAGTTTTAATTTTTGCGTCATTTTTCGATATGCACAAAAGGTGTGAGCAACTGAGATCCATAGTACTACCTATAATTATACCCGAGGCAATTTCGACCTCAAATTAATGTTTTTAAAATTAATTTAAGTAAAGATTTGTCATCAGAAAATTTTGTATTTAAAAAATAAAAACATGACATCAACGTCACAAATTTTTGCGCACCCCCCCCCCCCCCCCCCCAAATTCTCGACACCCCTGAGCGTGACGTAATTTGCGAACGACCCCATCCTAATAATAGTGACTATTACTAGTATTACGAGTAATAGCACCAGTTATACACGAATATTGTCGAATAATACTAGTAAAATAATAGTCTAGTCAGTCTAGTAAATTTTACTGTAAAATGCTCGTCTAACAATAAGACAATAACAAGGCCAAGTTAGCCAAGTCCAAGTACCTTAAGTGAGAGATTAACGACCAAGAAACAACACTATACCAAAAACTAGTTGACACTAGCCATAATATGTAATTATGGCAATTTGATAAATTTTATTGTAATATGTTACAAGTAACTTAGAAGTTTGAACAGAAAGCTAGTTTCATTAATTCAGATATGATAGTTACAGTTAAATTTCCATCGTATCCAAACAAGGGACACCAATCTGATTAACATTAAAAATGTTTCGGTAATGAATTCCCCTTTCTGCGCTAAAAATAAGTCACTTTTTAATTAAAAAAAAATCAAAGTTTATATAGTCTGAAGTTAGATAAAAATAAAAGATGACAAAATGCGTACAAGTGTGTGTTCAAAATTTGAATTCTGAAATGCATAGTTGTATATTTATTTTCCTGATGAAATAAATTTTTATTTCTTATTCTAAATAATAGCTTTATTGGGTAATTCTTTATTTTAGCAGTTTTGCAAACTGTGTTTCTTAAGTTGGTTTGGCCTTGTTTTGTCTTTAAATGGATAGATCAGATTTCTTAAAATGTTTATCTGCAATAAAGAGATAGCTCCCCATTCACAGGATCCTCTTGATAGGTGTTTCTTTCAGGCAGTGCTGGTTGGTGGTGTCGAAGCAAGTCAAGTGCTCCCCATTATAAGCAAAACTTTTACTTTCTTGTTTCATATCTGATATATATCAGTGTGTTTATTTAGTTATTTTTTGCAACTTCACGAGTTTAAGTCAAGACACTATGAAAAAAAAAGTACACAGCAGCACAAATAAATGTTTTATTTGGTTTTTTTTTAAAATGTATATTCTAACACAGTGGTTCTCAACCTTTCTAATGCCACGACCCTTTAAAACAGTTTCTAATGTTGTGGCAACCCCCAATCACAAAAATATTTTCGTTGATACGATACAAATGTATAGTATATGTGTTTTCAGATGGTCTAAGCGACCCCTATGAAAGGGTCGCGACCCACAGGTTGAGAACCCCTGTTCTAACAGATTGAAGAATTCATATCCTACATATTTATTTTGTAAATACAAATAGATGCATTAAAAAAAAAGAAACAACGCTGCAGGCCTTTGTTCTCACGATGATGCACCAAAAATTCAATCTTCTTGTTAAAAATCTTTTGAAAATGAAGAAAGAAAAACAACCCGTTAAAAAAGATAATTCAGTAGCATTATGTTTTGGGACTATATTTATTAAACTTAACTAAAACACTGTTGTATTACAGATCACAAGACACAATACAATGCTAGTGTACAAATATTTTAATGGTTAATAGTTATCAATCCTGGCAGGATCCACTGGATAGATACATCCTGTATTCCAGGTTGTAAAAAATACACAACAGAAAAGCACTTCTTCACAAGTCATAGATTGCTGGACATAGCAAAGTTTATTCTGTGGTTTTCTGTGCTATGTGTTAACCTAAACAAAATAATGCACTGTACATTTTAATTAGCTTTTTTAATTTGAAAGGGGATTTCTGTAGTGATAAGTCAAAAGTTTCCCTTCTCACTAATATTGATATCTACCCCTGCCCCCTAAAATTATACAGCACACAGACTGAAACCAATTTTCCTTTTGAACAGTCATAAGTCATTGATGATATCATGTTAAAGCAGCTTCATGTCTTAAAATAAGTGTTGCCACAAAGCTATTCTAAAAACTTGCTCTCAAATGGAGTTATGAAGGACTACAAGTCAAATCAGCAACCAAAAACTGTTTCAAAATCTGTCAGCGTCTGAATCTGAAGCATGTGTTTTGCACTTGGAGCTAATTTGACTCCATCTCTATGGTTACACAAATACATATGAATAAATTGAATAGGTATGCTGTTATTTTTAGAAGCAAAAAAAATTCTAGAAAAAGTATTGTTTATTTTCTTAAAAACACATAACTTACATTGAACTATCCAGTATTTAACAAAATATGTGGCATTATTACTTTTTGGGCAACGTTTTGTAGAGTTGCAATTAAGTTGCAATTATAAAAAAAAATTTAACATGATATTATGAATGATGTGCAAATAGATGAAGGATTGGAAGGGGCCATCCATATATATTACATACAAACAGTGTTGATTTAGGATAATTGGGGGGGGGGTGTGGATGGAGGGAAGATGACAGAATGTGTATGAACATCTATGCACACACTCTGCAATACATGGACGGTAATAATCTTCAAAGTCTGAGTTAGACGTTTTCTATCTCTAATATATAATTGGGGAAACTGTCAGCTAAAAATCTATGACATGCATGATTTCAAACAATTTTCAAAGCTATAAAGAAATCACTGCAAGGTTTTGTGTTTGTCACCAAACTGTTGCTTTGTGTTTATCATCATAGTGTTGCTTTGTGTTTGTTATCATACTGTTGCTTTGTGTTTTCAAAAATCTATTTGCTTGATATCGCAATAATGATATATCGCTCAGGGACAAATTTAGTTCGTCTTTTCCGGTTTCTGTGCTTGTGATGTATTTTGTGACATGATTTTATTTTCCGCTATGCCGGTGATTCCTAAACTTTTCAGATCTTCAGCACCAGTAACAATTTGTAGGAGCTCTCTAGTTTCCAAGTGAGTAACAGGTTTGTAATAGGTTTGCTGATGTCGTGTCCTGTCACATCTCAGTGAAAATTGAAACAAAACTTATGAAATTTCTTGGGTCACTTCTATGAGCAGGAATGGGCCAAACCTCAGAACTGCACAGAGGCCCAAAATGCTTCATTCAAATTAACACTGGTTAACAATGTCTACTTTAATTTCTAGCTTAGAGAGGAAAGGGGCCAAGTGCATTATTTTATCCAGGGGCTCTCGTTGCCATGGAGAAAACTTTTGACATAATTTTGATTGCTGTTTACACAATAATGGTCTATAAATATTTTTGAAACAGCTGGTTTGGGGGTGGGGGAGGGGAATTCGAATTTTATGTATAACTATCGATGCATTTTTCATGTTCAGAAGGGTATGAATATTTGAATATTTTTGCATATTTAACCCTTAAATTGGTACATTGCAGATGAAAAATAATTGTACACCATAAAAATATCTGTACACCATATCTGTACTTTATGTAAACTAATTTAAACATTTGTTTAGTCATCAAGAAGTGCAACGTCCTATAAATTGAAACATTTAAAGTAATCATAACTTCAATGATTAAAAAACTGATAAAATATTGGGATAATTTGACACAGAGCTTGTGGAAAATGACAGCACTCTTTGTGCTATATAAATAAATATACTTTGACTCTACGGTCAATATGAAGCTTGTCACTGGAGCAGGGTTCACAGCCATGATGGATAAGTTTGATACATTTTTGTTTTGTTTAAGCCAATTCTTATACTTATAAATTATAATTATAGGTAGATTCATTCAAATAAATTTAAACAATGGCAGAGTGTCAGTAATCAGAGTTGTCATTCCTTCTGATACAAACTCTTCACTCTCTTCACTGACGTCTGCCATGATGCCCGCCAACGTGTTTCATCG